TCCCAGTACTTGGGAGGCAGAGGCAGGAGGGTCTCTGTGTGTTCAAGGCCAGCCTGGTCTACATAGTGAGTTCCAGGACAGCTGGGGAGACAGGGAGACCCTGTCTCAAAAAGACCAAAAAAAAAAAAAAATTATCACACATACAAACACACACGGCAACACTTCCTGAGTTCAGTGTAGAAGTACATAAAGGTAAATTTCAGAGCAATTAATTTTTTTCCTCCACTTTTGTTTTAAAATTGCCCTGTCACATCACTTTTTTCCACATTATCCTATCTCCAAAGCATTTCAGTCATAATCCCTTATGGAAACTAGTTGTTGACACAGTTGCTCTATTCTTTTTTTAAAATATTTTATTTATTATTTTTATTTTATGTGTATGTGTGTATTGCCCGCATGGAGATAAGTGCACCTGTGTTGTGCAATGCCCACGGAGGACAGAAAAGGCAATCAGATCCCCTGGAACTGGAGTTATGGACAGTTGTTAGCTGCCATGTGAGTGCTGGGATTAGAACCCAGGTCTTCTGCAAGAACAGCCAGTGTTCTTAACCGCTGAGCCATCTCTCCAGCTCCACTCTATTCTTTTTATTATTTTTAAAGTTAATATTCAATAATAGGTTTGATTATGAGCCTTTCCCACACATCATTATACTCTTCTTATTAGCCATCTCCAATGGAACTCCTCTTCCCCACTTCATGCTTCCAGTTTTCATTTCTAGCAGTTGTTTTAAATTTATTATTAATTTCTCTATTTTTATTTTACATGTATGACTTTTTTGCAAGGATATATATATATACACACACCTGTGTTGTGTGATGTCTACAGAGGCTAGAAAGAGTGTGGGATCCTCAGGAACTGGAGTTATAGACAGTTGTTATCCACTATATGAGTGCTGGGAACCAAACCCAGATCCTCTGCAAGAGCAGCCAGTGCTTTCAGCCACCAAACCATCTCTCCAGGTCCCTAACAGTTTTTATAAATAAATGTTAAAGGATGTTTATCCTTGCCTAAGTTTCCCATTTTGGAGAAAAAAAATAGCACTTTAAATTCAAATCAAGAGTTCTCAATTCTTATACTACTTACAGTACATAATTGTACCATCTGAGTTCCAAATGGTTTCATTTTCCTTTGCTCAATTTCATTTTGGTTTTGTGACCATAAATATGGCAGGACTATGTGTCTTCAATAGGAAGAGCACTTAACCAGAAGTGAGATTATTTCTTCCTGGTGCTTTGCCTGGTATTTTCTTCATATCTTATTTATTATTACATGTCGGCCCCTGCCCTCGGCCTGAACCCCGCTGCTACTGGGAGGCCATTGTGCACCAGCCCCTGTCACAGGATTTGGGGCTAGGAGAGAGACAGGTTGGGGGAGGGAGGCCTCTGGTTGAGGTGAGTACGACAGGAAGAAACACCCGGGAGGCTGTCAGGAGGCTGTGTCAGTGGACAGCTCGTTTATTATGGCAGAAGCAGAGGTTTATATAGGAAAGCTTCATGGGCAAAGAGGTGGGGTTAGTTTTCTGGCAGGTCCGCAGGTAGGGGGAGGGAGGGGGCTTATAAGGCTACAGGCCTTTGTCCTATCCTCCAGTCACATGATCTACAAGAGACCCAGTTAGGATTAAAGGATTAGAGGCCTAATAGTTTTGCTTGGGGGTTGTTGGGTAAGAGACAGTGTGTGTGTATAGTACAGTACATAATTGTACCATCTGAGTTCCAAATGGTTTCATTTTCCTTTGCTCAATTTCATTTTGGTTTTGTGACCATAAATATGGCAGGACTATGTGTCTTCAATAGGAAGAGCGCTTAACCAGAAGTGAGATTATTTCTTCCTGGTGCTTTGCCTGGTATTTTCTTCATATCTTATTTATTATTACATGTCGGCCCCTGCCCTCGGCCTGAACCCCGCTGCTACTGGGAGGCCATTGTGCACCAGCCCCTGTCACAGGATTTGGGGCTAGGAGAGAGACAGGTTGGGGGAGGGAGGCCTCTGGTTGAGGTGAGTACGACAGGAAGAAACACCCGGGAGGCTGTCAGGAGGCTGTGTCAGTGGACAGCTCGTTTATTATGGCAGAAGCAGAGGTTTATATAGGAAAGCTTCATGGGCAAAGAGGTGGAGGTTGGGTTTTCCAGCAGGCCAGCAGGTAGGGGGAAGGAGGGGGTACTGAAGCTATGTGGCCTTTGTCCTGTCTTCTGCTCGCATAATCTACAAGAGACCTGATTAGGATTAAAGGATTAGAGGCTTAATAGTTTTGCTTGGGGATTGTTGAGTACAGTGTCCCTAGAATGGAGTGGGCCAGCTTCCTGCTGCCCTCACTAGGAAGTATACGGCCTGGTAGCCATGCTCTACATTCCAGGCACTCTTGACTTATCCCAACAATTATGGTACACAATGTGTGTGGTAGTACACATGTCAGATCATGCTCCTGGAAGAGGACCACTTTGTGTAGTCAGTTTTCTTCTTTTACTTTTACTTGGGGTTCAGGGTTCAAACTCAGTTCACTAGGCTTGACGGGCAAGAGCTCCTGCTGAGCCGTCTCTTTGGCTCAGTGTCTTCATATACTCTGTTTTTATTCTGAAATAAATCATCATTTTCTCGCTCTTGTTCTCAGTACTTCCCAGCATAGCCATTTCAGCTGTACATGTGCTGCTGGGACCTGACATTCTCTGAGCAAAGCTTCAGGCAACCTGTCCTAGTGATGTCCACTTCTGTTTCATTTGCTTGATGACATCTAAAGAATCCTATTACATGGATTCTTTTCTGACTCTATGCAATGTATTTATATGAAGATTAGTATAACTTTTACAAAGATAACCTAACTGCCAGCTAACTATGCATGACTAGTCCTCACTAACAGACAGCATTAGTAAAATTATTTAAAAAGAAAAAAAGCAAATACAAATAAATTATAGCTGACATCAAGTCTGATTAGAACCTTGATTCTAAGAACTAATGCAAACTATGGCATCATCCTTTGATTACTTATAACCACAAGGATAATAATAATTATAATCACATCAAGTAAAATAATAGCTATTTATGGGTAGTCATTTTGTCTAAAATACTTAAGAACTCTGCATAAAGCATGCTATGAAATTGCCATATGATGTTTTATTATAGGGGCATTTTAGAAATATAAGGTGAAGAAATTTCCTCAGGTTCTTACAAGCACTGGGAATTGACTTTGGTCTCTGGGATTCAGATCCTGAGCTCTATATTATATTGTTATTTACTGATCTCTGATTGGAGGATTCATGTATAATTTCCCATTGTATCTTTTTAACAATACTATCAAATATTTATTATCTGCACTCTCCCTATGACAAACTGAGACTTAGAAATATAAATCCTTACTGAAGATTGCATAAATAGTAATTGGGAAAGTTTGGTCTAAAACCAAGGTCTGTCCACAAATGGTGTTGTATAATAACAAAGACAATTTTGTAAAACAATAAAAACAGAGGGAAATGTATTAGTTCAAAAGTCCACTGGTCCCACCCATCTGTAAAGCCCAATAAATAACAAAGGGCCCAGAAGTAAAGCTATTGATGCAGTCATGGCACTTTTTTGTTATATATTTCTCATATATTTTTATTGAAATATATGAAAATCCATACACAACATCTTAATGATCTTTATTCCCCCTCTTCCCTATAGGCACCCTCCCACTTTTTTATTTTTTGGTCTTTTTGCTTTTGAGACACGGTCTTTCTGTAGCCCCAGCTGGCCTGGAACTCCCTTTGTATATCAGGTTGGCTTGAACTCACAGATATCCTCCTGCCTCTGCCTCCCAGTTAAAGGCCTGTGCTGCCACATCTGGTGCATTGTGCCATTTGTTAAGGCTTATCAAGTCAAGTTAGTATCCCCAGAAGTCCCTCTTATCTTGGGGGAAATTAACACCTATCTCATTGGACTTAAAACTTGCTCAATGGGAGGAGGAACTCATGTATGGTACTGTAAACATAGCCAAATACATGTGGCTGAAGGGGTCATAGATCCTAGAGAAAAACTTATGCCTGTTACATCCCTAGACAAATGTAATTGCTCACTGTATGTTAAATATCTATCCTTATATTTAGAGACAAGTATACCTTTCACGACTAATCAAGAAACTTCTTTTTGCAACAGATGGAGACTATTAGAATTTCACAACTGGTCAAACACAGAGAACAAGTGTCTGTGAGATGCCCACTCCTAGGTGACACATCTACAGTGAAATCTCTACACCTATGACTCATGAAACATAGTATACAGGGGATAGAGAGAATACCACTGCCTCTCTCAACTTTCATCCATGAAGCTTCCTCATTCAACAGATGGCAATTAACACAGAAAGTCAGAACTGACCAAAATGTAGAGACTAAGAGGCTTCAGACTGTGGATTACTGGACAGGACTCCCATATTAAACTTCACCCATCAAGAGTTCAGGGACCATTGTGGAAGGGGGTGGGGGGATTCTAAGAGCCAGGGCTGGTAGATGAGCACAAGGAAACAGAGTTTTCCATGATGCTGGGAAGTTGCTCATATGAACTTATAACAATGGTGACACTATGCACAAGATTCATTCAAATTCAAACCATAAAAACCAAGCATAGAAGTGAGGAAGTAGGTTAAAAAGCCCCAACCTTAGCTGAGTTGGCAACTGATCACCTATGGACAAAGGAGAATTGGTCTTCTTTAAGGGAGTGACTCAAGATAAGGCTGACTAGACTCCAGTGGAAGAACTCACATAGAGGGACATCTAGGAACAGAAACTTGACTCAATAGGCCTTGACATATATAACAGAATGCATGAAATCTGGTGGGGGGGCTACAGGAAGATGCTGATAGGGGAGTGGGTTTAAATATGA